AAAAAATATTTAAGAATAACTGATATTTGACAAAACTAACATTTATGTGAATATCAAAGCATCTGAGTAAATAGTAATAATTTATTAATAAAGCTAAAATAATTTGAGGTATATACAATACTTGCTAAAATTTTTATGAGAGAGAGAGAGAGAGAGAGAGATGTTATAATTCACCGAGGGCCACAACAAAACTTTAAATTGGCCGTGATTGAATCATTAACAACCTCCGGGCCATTATTGGGCAATTCAAATATCTCCTTCAATAGCTCAGACGGATAAACCTTTGGATCACTCGCATAGCTGACTCGTCTTTTACCATAATTCAAATCCTCCAAATCAGACACTGATTGCAATAAGCTGGTAAACTTTGCGCTAGATACAATTTCCATCCGGTATCTTAATAGTAGATACCGTTTTAATAAATACAGGTATATTTCGCGCTGCAATCTGTAAGATTAATAACAATTTTTAATTTATTAAATATGGTCATTTATTTAAAAATCTAACTTACTTAACCAAGTGTCTCTCTTTAAGCGTAGGCCTGTCCGGGTTAAATAACACAATTGCTGTCAACTAGTTTAATTAGTAATAATTAAAAATTATTTTTTATTTAATATAATGGTAAATTTATTTAATTTTTATTACTAACCAAGTTAATTAACATGGGATCCGAGTCCCACTCGCGGCATATTTGGTGATAAAACAATTTATATTTTTCATAGAGGTTAAATGGTTTGTGCCGATAATTCTCTAGTTCATATTTACATCTAGTTTTATCGACCTAGTAATATATTTAAGAATTAATTAATAATCAATTAAAAATTAAAAATGTTAATCTAGATCAGTTCATTTGAAAAAATATAAAATAAAAATAATCTATTTATTGTTATATATATTTCAAATAAAGATTGCTGATCTAAATCTAATTAGATTACATATATAATTGCTACATTACCGTATCGAATGCCCAACAATCCTGAACAGGATTATAATTAGGCACCATGGTCATATAAAACAGGGCCACGCAACCATGCTTAATCAAGCATAGTTTATCGTGTTCGCACATGGTGTTAAACGCGGCCAGTCGTTTGCACATCTTGATCATTTTGCGGGTGTGCTCGTCCATTTTAAGGAAAAGCATCATGCCCGAACGTAATTCGTGCAGGTTCATTGGTGACAGTTTCACGGCACTGGTGGCCCATAGTAGCTCCTGTAGTCTACTAGACTCGAGCTCGTTCAACTGATTACGGTAATCAGTTAGAGGCCTGTACACAGGCATCACTTGTACTGGCGGTGATAGTGTTGTCCTCAGGTTTATATCGGGTTTAATATCGTTAAACAGCATGATGTCTGATATATCGCCATCAATGTCGGTGTAGGGCTGATCGGCCAGACCTGTCACCTGTCCATCGGCTGGTGTCTCGCAATCAATATCTATGTCATTCATATCGAGTGGTGAACCGGTGTTTTCATCGCTGGCTAATGGCGATGGGGTACCGGTGCTCGACGGGTACGCTGACACTGAGCCCACGCCCACCCGTTTCTGGCGATTGGCCGTAATTATGGTGTTTCGGCGCTCCTTCTCCTCCGTGTTTAGTATGTAATTCTGTCGCAGAGAGAGAGAGAGAGAGAGAGAAAAAGATATGTTTTTATACATTATAAATATCTTAATTTAACTACAATTGTCAAACATTTATTTATTTTAATTACAT